TAAATTTGTTCATGTTTGTGGGGGTTTTTTTTTTTGTTTCTCACTTAACTAATTACCTCTCTCAATCTCTTTTATCTCTTTATTTGTTGCCACATCGTCGATGCTAGCACCACCACCAGTGGCATTGGGGACTAGTAAATACTCTATCTACTCACAAATATGTTATTTAACAGTCATTGACGTCGGCATCAGTGTCTATTAGTATTTAAAGGTAAATATAATATTTATTGGCTGTTGACCCTAATGACCAGTAAATACCAATTTACGGCTAAATGCGATATTTATTGGTCATTGGCGTCTGCGCCCTTGTCGGTGTCCATATTTACAGATAAATATGATATTTATTAGTCTTCAGTGTCAACAGACAGTGACGGATAAATATCACAGTTCTTGTTGAATATGATATTTATGAGTGAATACCATATTTACTAGTCTCCGGTGACCAATAAATGCCGTATTTTTTGGTAGATATGATATTTATGAGTAAATATCATATTTACCGGTCACGGGCACCGGTCGCCTGTGTTGGTGGAGCTGGCCATATAAGGAAGGTAGAGAGTAAGAAGGAGAAAGAGTTGAAGAGTATTTTTGAGTTTTTAATAGTTTTGAAAACCTATGACATTAAATTATGTTATTTACTACCTATTCTAAAAAATTATACTATAATTTACTAAGCCCCTATCAAATATGTCATTTCACTCGTTCTCTAAATGTATATATATATATATATATATATATATATATATATCTTAAAGTAGTATTCTCTAATTCACCCAATAATTCACATTGATTGTCAATCTGTAATCCATGCTGAAACTAGGCTTATACTTCGGTCTTGAACTTGAGAAAACCCAGGCAACAACACCTATATGTGTAAAGGGAAAAGAAAACAAATACCTCTTAAAATGTATGGGTCTGAATTTTTACAATTTATTTTTTATTAATATAATTTTTAATCAAATAACTATATTAGTCAAAAGTGTATTAATAAAAAGCATGAGGTAAAAATCTAGACTGACGCACTCTAAAAGTAAGTTCAACAATTTTCTATTGCGTAAAATTAAATAACGACAAATCGTTATTATGCTCAAATACAAAAAATCATTTTGTTTTTTCAAAATACAATATCTGTCCCTTATATTTTTTAAATGGTTTAAATGAACCCCTTACCTCACATTTGATAAGTAAATTTTTTAAAATATCCAAATTACCCTCAATAATCTGTATGAAAAAAAAAATCCACACCACCCTTTGTATTTAGACAAGATACAAGTTTTGCCCTTCTTGTAAAGCAAATTCCTAGAATATCCTTGTGTTTGTAAACTCAATCACAAAATACTAACATTAACCTGCTCAATCTATATTAAATATCATTTACAATTTTTTTATTAATTTTAGAAAAACAAAAGATGTTCTGGGCATTTGTATGATAGAGGGACAAAGTGGTATTCTCACTGAGCACAAATAGTATTTTGGTTATATTAACTATCATTTACACAATAGGGATATTTTAGTAAATTACATTGTTAGCATTACTATTCTTTAGTATAGCAAACACTAGAAATAGAGGCGATGGTGTCTCGTTATATCATTAAATAAATAAGTAAACACGAGGACAAAAATTAAGAATTCGTTTGTTTTATATATTTAAATTTATTATTTTAATTATTTTATAGTGTTTTTTTTATAAAAAATTTAAAATTTAAATATTAAAATTAAGAATTATTAGTTTAAATATATAAACTAAACGAACCTAATGATTCCCATTTTTCTTACTTCACTTCCTTTTTTTCAATTATATTACCTTTCCCTTATTTTTTTTTCACTGTTCCGTAAACTCGCCCTTTGCCTACATTTCTTGTTCCTACAAATCCCTCTTTGATCTTGCTTTTTATGGAGTTTTGACGGTTCCTTTATCGACTGAAAAATTAACTAACAACGAATAATATGCCCACAGGAATATTCACATAAGATTGAATGATAAATAATTTGGAATAATTCCTTTGTCTGGCATATCTTTTTAGTCTAAGCCATATAAAAATAATCATACTCTTCAAAATTCATGCCGTGGTAATAAATAAAACATCCAATCATGTAGTTTCCCTAATATTGTCGATATATCCACTTGCATTTTTTTTAATTAACTAGCAAATAACATGAAAAATTAGATATTAATATTGATTTTTTTTTTCTATAGCTCTCATTTCAATATAAAAAAATGAAAAAACAACCAGAATTCAAACTCAAAAAAACACTCTCACCCGAACCCAAACCACTTAAGGCTTTTATGTGCACCTCCTAATTATTAATACTAATTCTCAACTGATGAAATACAACGTTTTATACATAAATTTATCAAATGAAAGATAAAAAAAAAAATACTTCATGAATTACATTATAATACAAATTTAGTTTAAACTCAACTTCTTTGGACCCGTTTTGACAGTTTTTATTTTTGCTTTTAACTAGTAGAATAAGAAAAGTAAAAGTTATACCCCCATTTGTTTTACTAGTTTAACTCAGTTCAGCTCAGTTCAAACAATAAGAACAGTTTAAATTCGTGTTTAGTAAGCATGCAGTCTGAATTATATTCCTCGTTTGAACTGAGTTAATATGTCCAACTTAGAATTTAACTCCCCTTTTAAGTTCAACCAAAACCATTTTTGAACAGTAAAAAGATGTCCACTCTCTCTACTTTTCACACCTACCAAACACTAATTCAAATTTTATTCTATGTTCAGATTAAAATTTTAACTGCACATCCAAACACCAATTCGAACCATAAATTAAACCACACAGTTTGAATTTTTTTGTTCGAACAAAAAAGTTCAAAACAACAAAATTCAAACCAGCGAACTAAATGAGAGCTATGGCTTTTCAGTGATTAGCCCATGTTTGTTTCAACAACTTAAACCCAACAATCCAATTCAAACTATAGTTTAGGATTCAAATTAATGTTTGGTAGAGAACTAAATGAGCACAATTCAAACCATTGAGAATTGTTCAAACCCTTAATTTTATAATTTATCCCCTTAAATTCTAACAATCCGGATTGTTTACTATAATAAAAACAATTCGGACCTTACTTTTCTCTCTTCTCAACTTCAAGCTTAAGAATGTCATAATTTTTTTCGTTTTAATTCCGATGGAGATGATTTTTTTTCAATGTGTTCATAATGAAGAGAGGAACAAATCCTCATCATATTGCATATTTTTAATGTCATTTACAATGAGAGTTTATAAGATTTGTTATAAAATTCTAATGACAGTTTTCAATACTTTATCTAAACATAGTTCAGATTTTATTATCAATTCAAATTATAATTTATTTGCGTATCCAAGCACTTGTTCAAATTGTAATTCAAATCACCACAATTCAAACTAAATCACACAATCCTAACGGCGAACCAAACAATGTAACTAAGAGCTTAATGGGTCAAAATGATTTTTAAATTCTCTCATAAATAATAAAAGTGTTGAAATGAAATGTATAATACCTTAATAAAACTCTAGTACAAATTCTAAATTAATTGAGTAATGTTAAATGTTTTGGTTATACGGAACAAGAGCCAAAGAAACAACAACAAAAAAAATAATGAAACAAAGAATGTTGTAAATAGAAGATTTATAAAACAAAATTAAGTAAATAATATATTTTAAAAATATTTGAAGCAAATAGCAATTTACCGTGTAAATGTCTTATTTACGATTAGTAAAAGGATTTCTTTCCACGTAAATATTCCTTTTACGACTGCCAAAAAGATTTTTTTTCACGTAAATAAAGATTTTTTACCATGTAAGTTATTTTACTAGTCGTAAATGAATATTTACGCGGTAAACTGTTATTTATTACAAATAGTTATAAATATGTTATTTACTTAATTTAGTTTTAAAAATCTTCTATTTACTACAATTTTAAAAAAAAATTCAAAATTAGGATTTTTTTTTCCCTTTTGCACTCTTGAAACTTTAATCTCGAATTCAATAACCCTTTCACTAGAAAGAAAAATTATTACGGGTTTGTCTCTCAAATAGGATTTGTTTTTTTTTTTTCCTTTTATTTTTTATTGGTTTGTTTTCTTTTCTCTTCTTTTTTAGTTTTAGTATTAGTCATAAAAAAAAACAATTGTTCATTTATATCTCATTTTATAGTAGTGATAAGTTTAATCCGTTCACATTTTGATGCAATTGTGTTAATTTGATTAGTCGATTTATTATTTTTCATGTTTTAACATGGTTTCTTATTAGATATTTTCATGGTTTCTTATTAGATATGTAGCATTTACGCGACATCCATAAATTATTCTGTTATTGTCAAGAAAAGCTAAACTGACGGGGGAGTGAGTTTTAAAAGAGTAAATTTATTTTTTGTGAAGCTCGACTTTATCTTTATTCCAGGGTTATCAAAAAAATTATACAGAAAAAGTGAATTCATGTAAAAAAAACGTTGTAGAGTGAAAAGTTGAATTTGAAATTTTATGAGAGAAAACACTGATAAATAATATAACAAAAACTTGAGTTGTGATTCGAATTATATTCTTAAAATAATAGTTTAACTATTTTGTTTATTATAATAATTACTTACTATATCCATCTTGTTTTTCTAATAGGAGATTTACGATTGTAATATTTAGATCAGTTAAGTGAAATATTCTGCCAAATTTCAAGGAGAAAAAAGAAGCGAGAGAGAGGATTTGGTTAGGATTGAAAAGAAAAACAAAAAACAAAAGAGTGGTTAGAGAGTGAATGAAGTTAACAAGGTAACATCACAAGTAGTTATAACTCACATGAGATCCAAACACACGGGTGTTTAGTTGCGAAACGTCGGACATATTTAACAAATATTTGCCTTCAAAGGTCGTAAATCGGAGAAAAAGACATTAGCGTGGGCAAAAACATAAATACCGAAAACATAGGGGGATCAAACAGGAAAAAAGAAAACGAGAGAAAAAAAAAAAAAACCATTCCTCTCTTTTCTCTCGTGGAGTCGTGGTGTTTAACTCATTCTTCGTCTCTCTCTCTGTCTCTCCGGGCACAGTAGGGCTTCTCTGTCGGACACTTTCGTATTCTTTTTTCACCGCTGCGCACGTTAGCCCGAGCCGTTCCGCTATCTTACGCCCCCGGAGGTAAGCTCCTTGTCCTACTCGTCCTCGTATTCTTTTACTTGATCTCCTTCCTTTCTGTCTTTCTTGCTGGCCAATCTAGGGCTGCGAAACCCTAATCGGCGAAAGCAATACTTGAAAACGATCTATTTTTCAGTGAAATTAATGGAAGATTGAGATCGATTTTCATAGCTGTGGATCGTTTTAGCTTTTTTTGTTTACGATTTTGGTGTTTGTTCTGCTTGATCAGGGTTAGAGAGAGTCTGTTAAGATCCATCGGTGTGAATAATCTGCGAATCAAAAGGTTTGGGCTTTTGGGGGAGAAATCTAGAGTTAGATTTTTTTTTTTTAATTGCGTTTCATTTTGATGCTTTGGCGGGAAGCGGAATCCGCCGGGACTAAAGTTTGGGTTGGAGCCGTGAGATGGCTAATCCCGGAGTCGGGACCAAGTTTGTGTCAGTGAATCTGAACAAATCTTATGGGCAGCCTTCAAATCATCACCACCAGCACAACCATCCTCACAATCCCGGCTCTTATGGATCGAATCGGGGAAGAGTCGGTGGCTATGGCTCTGGTGGCGGCGGCGGCGGAGGAATGGTGGTCCTTTCCCGGCCTCGCAGTTCGCAGAAGGCTGGGCCGAAGCTTTCTGTTCCATCCCCCTTGAATCTGCCCTCGCTGCGCAAGGAGCACGAGAAGTTTGATTCGTTGGGCACGGGTGGCGGGCCAGCCGGTGGAGGGATTGCTGGTGGCAGTTCGAGGCCGACTTCGTCGGGTATGGGGTGGACGAAGCTCGGTGCAGTTGCTTTGCAGGAGAAAGAAGGATTGGGGAGTGATCATCACGGAGCTGATGGTAATGACAAGGGTTTGAACGGTGTTGATGGGGTGATTAAGGGGAGCAGTGCGTATGTGCCTCCTTCGGCTCGACCTGGTGCAGTTGGTTCCTCTGCTCCGGCTTCTGCACCAGCCTTTCCTCCTTTGGAGAAGGCCCCAGTGTTGAGGGGTGAGGATTTCCCTTCTTTGAGGGCTGCTTTACCTTCTGCCTCTGGGGCTGCACAGAAGCAAAAGGATGCTTTGAATCAGAATCAGAAGCAGAAGCAGGTTGCTGGTGAGGAGCCATTTAATGGGCAGAGGAACGGGAGCCATTTGAGTACTCCAGTTGATATGCGACCTCCGTCACACTCATCTCGCGTCGGTATTGGCAATGGGGTGAATGAGAATGTTGAGACCAATAGTGTGGGTGGTTCTCGAGCAACAGAGCAAGTTCAGAAGCAGGAAGAGTATTTTCCAGGTCCATTACCGCTGGTTCGGTTGAACCCCAGATCAGATTGGGCTGATGATGAGCGTGATACAAGTTATGGGCTGACTGATCGAGGAAGGGACCATGGTTTTCCAAAGAGTGAAGCTTACTGGGATAGAGATTTTGATATGCCCAGAGTTAATGTTTTGCCACACAAACTGGCTCGTAATACTTCTGAGAGGTGGGGTCAGCGTGACGATGAAACTGGAAAGGTTACTTCCAGTGAAGTCCCTAAAGGAGACCCTTACAGCAGAGATGTTAGAGCACCCAGTAGAGAAGGGCGGGAAGGAATCTCCTGGAAAACTTCAAATCTTCCAAAAGATGGTTCAGGTGTTGCAGAAGTTGGTGCAGGGCCATCTAGTTTGAACAGAGAAATGTATAAGGAAAATAAGTACACCCCTTCACTATTTCGAGAAAATGCCCATGATGATTTTGGGAAGAGGTATGTAGGGTATGGACAGGGAGGGAAACAGTCATGGCACAACACTACAGACTCACTTGGTGCCCGAGGGGCTGACCGGACACGGGTGCGCTATGGAAGTGAACAACACAACAGATATAGAGATAGTGCTTTACAGAATAGCTCAGTATCCAAATCATCATACTCATCGAATGGCAGAGGGACGCTTGTGAATGATCCAATACTCAACTTTGGCAAGGAGAAACGCTTTTTCTCAAAGAGTGAAAAGCCTTATGTAGAGGACCCTTTTGGAACAACAGGCTTTGATAATCGGGATCCATTTTCCGGGGGTCTCCTAGGAGTGGTCAAGAGAAAGAAAGATGTGCACAAACAGACCGATTTTCACGATCCTGTTAGAGAATCTTTTGAGGCTGAACTTGAAAGAGTTCAGAAAATGCAAGAACAAGAGCGGCGGCGGATCATTGAAGAACAAGAAAGAGCTTTAGAACTAGCTCGAAGAGAAGGAGAGGAAAGAGCAAGGCTGGCTAGGGAACAAGAAGATAGACAGAGAAGATTGGAAGAAGAAGCAAGAGAAGCAGCATGGAGAGCAGAACAAGAACGGCTGGAAGCTATGAGAAGAGCCGAAGAGCAGAGAATCACTAGGGAAGAGGAGAAACGAAGGATTTTCATTGAAGAAGAAAGGAGGAAACAGGCTGCTAAGCAAAAGCTTCTAGAATTAGAAGAAAGGATGGCTAAGCGGCGGTCTGAAGACACAAAGAGTGGGACTAGTTCTTCAGCCCTTGCAGATGAGAAATCGTCTCTGACTGGGAAAGAAAAAGACTTCTCGAGGACAGCAGAGGTGGGTGATTGGGAAGAGGGCGAAAGAATGGTGGAGAGGGTCACAACTTCAGCATCCTCCGATTCATCTAGTTTGAACAGGCCCATGGATATGGGTTCTAGGTCTCACTTTTCTAGAGATAATTCTGGTTTTGTGGACCGAGGAAAACCTGTTAATTCATGGAGAAGGGACGCATATGAAAATGGAAACAGCTCAACTGTACTGATACAAGATCAGGATGTTGGACATCACAGTCCCAGGCGTGATGCATCTGTTGGTGGGAGATCCTATTCTAGGAAAGAGTTCTTTGGAGGTGCTGGATTTATGCCTCCAAGGACTTACCATAAAGGAGGAATTTCAGAACCTCAAATGGACGATTTCAATCATCTAAAAGCGCAGAGGTGGAACCTTCCTGGAGGTGGAGAGCACTTTAGCCGAAATGTAGAATTGGACTCTGAAATTCATGATCACCTTGTTGATGGTTGGGGACCGGGCCGGACCCGTGGTAATTCTTATTCTCAATATCCTGATAGAGGATACCCGAATTCAGAGGTAGATGGGCCTTATTCTTTTGGGAGGTCACGAACCATGAGGCAACCTCATGTTCTTCCGCCTCCATCACTAGCTGCCATGCACAAAGCCACCTATAGAGGTGAGATTGAACGTCCTGGCCCTTCAAATTTTATAGATAGTGAGATGCAGTACAATCATGCAACAAGAACTGAACTTACCACGCAGACAGCTTATGAGAGTAGTCATCTTGAGAATCCTAGACAACCTGAAATGATTAATGCCCAGCAAGAAAATGAGCAGAAATTGGATGGTAAATCCTCACCAAGGTGCGACTCACAATCCTCGCTTTCAGTCTCAAGCCCCCCTAGTTCTCCAACTCATCTCTCTCATGATGACTTGGATGTATCAAGAGAGTCTTCAGTGTTGTCAGATGAAGGCGCTGGTAAAGATGGTTCTTTATCAGGACTGGAGAATGAACCTGTTGTTTTACCTCCAAATGCTGGGAAAGAGAATCTGATGACTGCTGAAAACTCTGTCTCTATGGGTGAGGATGAAGAATGGGACGTTGATAACGATGAACAGCTGCAGGAGCAAGAAGAATATGATGAGGATGAGGATGGATATCAGGAAGAAGATGAGGTGCACGAAGGAGATGATGAGAATGTTGACTTACCCCAGCAGTTTGAAGACATGCATTTAGAGGAGAAAGGTTCGTTGGACATGATGGAAAACTTGGTTCTAGGCTTCAACGAGGGTGTTGAAGTTGGGATGCCAAATGATGACCTCGAAAGAGATTTAAGGAACAACGAAAGTGCCTTTGCAGTACCTCCGGTGTCTTCTAGCATTGTTGAAGAACAGAAGTCATTTGATGGAATTCGCGGTCATGCTGAAACCCTTCAACCCCTGGATGGTTATGCTCAAGTTACTATTGATAGTTCTTCTAGAATGTTCCAGGAAACCGAGAAGGCAATGCAGGATTTGGTCATTCAGCAAAATAATACTCCTCATTTAACAGCAGAATCTAAACTTTTGGATCATGCAGATGCTTCTAGTAGTTCTGGTCCGTCTCAGCATCCAGTCATATCTCCAGTGAACCTTGCCTCCCATTCTTCTGGTCAGGCTGTTATATCTAGTGTATCTGCAGTTCCAAATCAGGCTGAGGTACCTGTTAAGCTTCAGTTTGGGCTGTTTTCGGGTCCTTCCTTGATACCATCTCCAGTCCCAGCTATTCAGATTGGTTCCATTCAGATGCCTCTTCATCTGCATCCTCAGGTTGACCCTTCTCTCACGCATATGCACCCATCACAGCCTCCTCTCTTCCAGTTTGGTCAGCTAAGGTACACATCTCCTATTTCCCAAGGAGTTGTGCCATTGGCTCATCAATCAATGTCTTTTGTTCAGCCCAATGTTCCATCGAGCTTTTCTTTCAATCAAACACCAGGAGGTCCACTACCTATTCAGCCCGGTCAATATTCTTCCCAGAGTTTTGCAAAGAATGATGCTATTTTAATGTCAGTGGACAACAAAACGGGCATTGCTCCAAGGCAGTTGGATGTGTCTCAAGGAAATCTGAAAGAGAATAATTCATTTCCTGCCAGAGAGAATACTGAAACCCCTGTTATGGTGCAGCGGGGTCGATCAGAGATATCCTATATTGGTGATAATAATTCCAGGTCCGAGTCAGGAGTTGAGGCAGGAGATGAAGGGTTGAAGACCTACAGTGCTTTGCCCATTAACCTAGAAGCAGAAGGCCAGCCACAGACTGGGTCAACACTTCCTGTGATGAAAGAAAAAGATCAAAGTGGGACAAAGGCCCACGGCTCAGTATCTAGTGGCAGGGGGAAAAGATACATATTTGCGGTAAAGAATTCAGGGGCCAGGTCATATCCTGCTTCTGAGTCGACCCGCACTGAGACTAATGGATATCAGAGGAGGCCTCGGCGCAATATTCCACGAACTGAGTTTCGGGTTCGGGAAAGTGTTGACAAGAGACAATCTGCTGGTTTGGTTTCGCCTGATGATCCTGGATTGGAAGAGAAGTCAAATGCCACTGGAAAGGGTCCAGGAATTTCCGTTAAAACTGGGCCCCGGAAGGTTGTCTTGTCTCATAAAGTGTCAAAACAGACATTAGAATCAGAGATATCGAGCTCTGCTCTACTTAGTTCACGGCAAATAGATTCTTCGAGTAGGGTTGAAAAGGGGTCTGGAAAAGAATCCTCCTTAAAAGGTCAGGATGTTCCTCGGTCTCGAGAAGGGAAGCTTAAAAGGAATGTCTCTGAAGGTGATGTTGATGCTCCTCTGCAAAGTGGCATTGTCCGTGTTTTTGAGCAACCTGGGATAGAAGCCCCAAGTGATGAAGATGATTTTATTGAAGTGAGGTCGAAGAGGCAAATGCTGAATGATCGGCGTGAACAGAGAGAGAAGGAAATCAAGGCCAAGTCTCGGGTCACTAAGGTTGTACTTCTATCTAGTTCCATTCCTGTTTTTGCTTACTATGACCATAAAAAGCAAGTTTCTTAATTGAGATTTATTAATCATGACAGTTGCCTCGAAAATCTCGTTCTAATTTTAAAAGCACTCCCTTAGCAAACTCTGGTAAAGTTTCGGCATCTTCTGGTGGAGAAGCAGCAAACAACATTCGCCCTGATTTTGTTACCACTGAGGGACGTGGATTGACAAATCCTGAATTGTCTACTGGATTTAACACCAGCTTAGTCTCTCAGCCATTGGCTCCTATTGGCACCCCTGCTGTGAAAAGTGATTCCCAGACAAACAGGTACTTGCTCTCTTGAAGAAAACTTATATTCCCAAAAAAACCATGTACATATTCACACACCTAAATCATTATTTACTCAACAGACCAATCCAGACAAGCTCCCAGTCTGTTGTGTCTGCTGCTGCAAAAAATATTGGATCAAGCTTGGTGTTTGACAACAAAGCTAAGGTTCTTGATAATGTTCAAACATCGTCGAACTCTTGGGGTAATTCGCGAATTAATCATCAACAGGTGCGTCCTTGTGATTTTCTTTTTATACATATGTACACCTCGGTGATTCTTACACTCTGGTCAAACTTTGCACTTAAGAAATGTTATTAGTGGTTTTTTTTTTCTTCGTAAAAATTTGATTTTATTATTTTCTCTTTCAATGCATTGCTTGATTCACGGTGTCAATTTTTGGTACACTTTTTCTCCCCAAGGATTTCAACTTTTTCTCAACTGGTTCGTGTAAAGATTTCACATATATGTAGTTATTGTCTCTTTAAACTGCTAGGAGTGCTGAACTTACAGACAATATCTGGCAGGTTATGGCTCTGACGCAGACCCAACTTGATGAGGCTATGAAACCTGGGCAATTTGATCCTCGTGCTTCTGTTGGGAATCAGACTAGCTCGGTTAGTGATTCCAGCATGACATCATCTTCCATCTTGACAAAGGACAAGCCATTTTCTTCCACTGCAAGTCCAATCAATTCCCTTCTTGCTGGGGAAAAGATTCAGTTTGGTGAGAAACGATTGGAGTCATTGGACATTTTTAAAAGCTAAAATTTTACTTGATCTTTGCGCCACTGATTTTCTGTAAATATAATCGGTTTACGTTCAGGTGCAGTCACATCTCCAACAATTCTCCCTCATAGTAGCCGTGCTGTTTCACATGGAATTGGTCCCCCGGGTCCATGTAGGTCTGAAGTGCAACTTACCCACAATCTTGGTGGAGCTGAGAATGATTGTGATCTTCTTTTTGACAAAGAGAAGCACATCACAAAATCTTGTGTTCATCTTGAAGATTCTGAAGCTGAAGCTGAAGCTGAAGCAGCTGCTTCAGCTGTTGCTGTTGCAGCAATTAGTAATGATGAAATTGTTGGGAACGGGCTGGGTACTTGCTCTGTCTCCGTTACTGATACCAAGACTTTTGGAGGTGCTGGTATTGATGGAATAACAGCAGGTGGGAGTTTTTCTGCATTCTCTACAGTGAGCCCAAGTGTTTCTTGTTTAAATATTCCTTAAGAGGGCATTTTCATTCTTTGGCAGGTGGGGCTAATGATCAGCGATTCAGTTGTCAATCGAGGGGTGAAGAGTCTCTTAGTGTATCTCTCCCAGCAGATTTATCTGTTGAGACTCCACCAATTTCCTTATGGCCACCCTTACCAAGTCCACACAATTCTTCAAGCCAAATGCTTTCACATTTCCCTGGCGGTCCACCTTCTCATTTTCCCTTCTATGAGATGAATCCCATGATGGGGGGTCCTGTCTTTGCTTTTGGACCACATGATGAATCTGCATCTACTACCCAGTCACAGTCCCAGAAGAGCACCGCACCATCTCCAGCACCGGTAGGAGCCTGGCAGCAATGCCATTCTGGTGTAGATTCGTTTTATGGTCCTCCTGCAGGGTTTACTGGTCCTTTCATTAGTCCACCCGGGGGCATCCCAGGGGTTCAAGGCCCCCCCCACATGGTTGTTTATAATCATTTTGCACCAGTTGGACAGTTTGGGCAAGTTGGGCTTAGTTTCATGGGTACCACCTACATTCCATCTGGGAAGCAGCCTGATTGGAAGCACAGCCCTGTATCTTCTGCCATGGTTGTTGGCGAGGGGGAGATTAACAATTTGAATATGGTTTCTGGACAGCGCAATCCTACAAACATGCCCACTCCGATCCAGCATTTGGCCCCAGGATCACCACTCCTTCCCATGGCTTCTCCTTTAGCAATGTTTGATGTTTCTCCGTTCCAGGTAAACATCCAGTCTGTTGGCATGAAAGTTTATGCAACATGGTCGCTAAATGATTGTCAATTTCTCACTCCGTGCTTTTGGGTTAAGGTTAGGGGTGGAGGTATGCGATTGAAGGGGCTATACCTTAGATATGGTACTTTGTAGGCAGAATTTGTTGTTGATACATATTTGAAAAACGATTGGCTCTAGAACTAGAGAAAGACTTAAAATTTCAATTGCTACTTGGTTTTAGTGTCGTTATGGCCAGCTGTTTTTCTAGCATTACTAACAGTTCTGTATAATTGTTTGCAGTCCTCTCCTGACATGTCTGTTCAGGCTCGCTGGCCCCATGTTCCTGCATCGTCCCTCCAATCTGTTCCGATGTCGATGCCCTTGCAGCAAGCAGCAGATGGTGTACTGCCTTCTAAACTTAGCCACCCTTCTTCTGTTGACCAATCATTAAATACCAACAGGTTCCCTGGCTCCCGAAATTCTACACCGTCTGACAAGAATCGGAGTTATCCTGTGACAACTGATGCCACCGTCACTCAATTGCCTGATGAACTAGGGTTAGTAGACCCTTCAAGTTCCACCAGTAATGGGATTTCAACACAGAATGTTGTCCCTAAGAGTTCTTCTGTAAGCACGAGTTTGGACACTGGCAAGTCTGATGTTGTTGCTCAAAATGCTATTAGCAATGTTAGTGGCCAGAATGCTAGTTCCAATTTGAAGACTCAGCCTTCGCAGCATAAGAATCATATCTCGAGCCATCAGTATGGTCATTCCTCTGGTTATAGTTATCATAGAGGCGGAGGCGCTTCTCAAAGAAATAACTCCGCGGGTGAATGGACCCATCGAAGAATGGGTTTCCAAGGAAGGAATCAATCTCTGGGCGGAGAAAAAGGTTATCATTCTTCAAAAATGAAGCAAATTTATGTGGCTAAACAGACCTCAACCGGGTCATCGACAGCATCGTGATAAGCCAGAAAAATGAGCTTGGATTTTGAATGGATTGCTCGAGGTCGAAGCATTTGTTCAGGAATAAAAAATTTTGGTCATTTTTTGCAGCACCTATTGCATTGATTAGGTATGTTTAGTTTTGAGATTTGGCTTTTCTTGACTAGAGTCCATAGATACTATGATAGTTATCCCCCATGAAGGTTGCAGAACTGGCTGATATAGTAGTTTTGGGCTACCTAGCGTAAGAGTGATAAAAAAGTGTTCGGGTTTTACGTGCCAGTTCGGACTGATGGGCAGCACTTTGTTGTGATGTAGTTGTGCTGTTTGTTGGCTGCACATAAGACTCGAGATTTATAAAACATTGATGTACTAGAAATTTATTCGGTCCGGGTAAGATTTTTTTTTTCCCCCCAATTTTAGTAATGATATATGTAGCTTAAGGAAATGTTTTTCCTCGGAACTCTTCCTTCATTTTTTTTTATTTTTTTATTTTTATTTTTTATGTATCCTTATTCATAAATGAAAGTATTGGACTTTAGAAATAAGCTAGTCGTTAGCCATCCTACAGCAGGCAGTCTGAAGGAGCCCTTTGGGAAATGCTGCTTCCATTTTTCTTCATAAAGATTTACATAGAAAGCAAGAGCAAACTCGAGTAATTTTGTACCCCTGTCGAGTGTTTTGAAAATATCCATGCTGTAGGGAAATTGTGTGTAAAATCACCTACTCATTGTGCAAGTAAATTTAAAGAAATGTTGTAAATGTGTGTTGAGTATTTTGGTATTTTATAATCTATACATGATCTTTCATTTAGACTTCATTATACCTCCGCTATACCCTCATATTATATATAAAAAAATTTAGACTTCATTATACATCCGTTATACCCTCATATTATATATAAAAAAATGTTAGCATGTTAGCGCCACTCTTAATGCCTCCGTTAATAGTATATAACCTATGAAATTTATGTGTACTCATCTTATCTCTATTTATGATTCCGTTAATAGTATATAACCTATGAAATTTATGTGTACTCATCTTATCTCTATTTATGATTCTTGTTTTATAGATAGAGGTTATGCTAGCTTGTATGGTAACTACTTACAAGTGAAGAAATAATAGAAAGCTATTTTTTCTCTCATTCTTTTGTGTTTCTCTAGTTGTTTGGAATACTATAGTTTTTGGTTATTGTTTTATAACATGTTATCAACAAGAGTAACTTTTTTTTTTTTTTTTTTTTTTTGTAAGAAAAGTTTGAAGGTTTTACAAGATTCGGAAATTCTCTTTGGATTTACTTGTGGCTTGATTGTATGATCTTATGTTGATGAGGGTGTGGGGAAAATTATTTACCCTCTCCGTTGTTGAAATTGTACTTCCATATTTAGTCTTTTCATTAGCTACATTAGTCACCTCAAATATGCAAATGTTCATTGTAAAAATGTAATAGGTTCTCTGTTTTATTTGCAAACCAGGTAAATGGCCTCTTCTTTTTTCTTTTATTTTTTTGTTCTTTTTTTTTCGGTGGTAGAGAAGCTTTAATCACCACACTCTCTCTCTCTCTGTGGCAATAAAATCGTTGATCTATATTGCATCGTGAGAAATATGTCAATAAAATCGTTGATCTATATTGCATCGTGAGAAATATGCCAACTTGTGCACCAGTAGGAGGGATCAGTTGGTCTGCGTTGACATTTATATTTTTTTAACCTGTTTGACTTTGCTTTCGTTCGACTCCAAACTGGGCTCCTATTTGACTTTACCGACCTCTGTCTTTTGACATGGAATTTCTTAAAATACCGAAATTCAGTCATATGAGACACAAATGCAGTTGAAAACTGTTTCCTCTAATGAATAGGTCTTAAAAGAAAAACACGTGGAAAACTCACACCAATTCATGCATGAACCACCAAAAAAAAAAAAAAAAACAAGAGGAGGAGGAGAAGAAGAAGAAGAGGAAGAAGAAGAAGAAGAAGAGGAAGAAGAAGAAGAAGAAGAGGAACAACTCTGCCGCCTAACTCTTTAAAATTGGAGCCATGAACGGAGCAAATAAAAATCTTAGCTCCAAAGTCCAAACAGGCGTGAACGGTGAAGCATATAAACCCTACTACACTACTCTAATGATTGTCGTTTCGTCGTTCACTTCAACCATCCAGCGTCATCATCCAATTCCAATCTCCGTCCATCTCCCAAAACCCATCATCCTCTAGTCGAATCTGATTGTCGTTTTCTTGAGCTGATTTCAAACTCTCCAACTCTTGATCTCTTGCATCTGGGATTTGCTGGTCGTTAATATTCTTTTTATAATTACCATTATTATCACCATTCTCAACTACTACTTTGTAGTCGGACATGGGAAAGTTGAGCTTGGCCTTGGCTCCACGGAACTCGATGGCGGCTCTGTCGTAGGCCCTCGCCGCCTGCTCCGCCGTCGCGAACGTCCCCAGCCACACCCTCGCCGCCCTCCTGGGGTCCCGAATCTCCGCCGCCCATTTCCCCCACGGCCTCTGCCTCACACCCCTGAAATCCTTCTTCTTCCTCTGACTTTGCCTCTTATTACAACTGCCCCTACCACTACTTTTGCTGCCGTTGCAAGCCCTTCCCGCTGTCGTTTTCACCAAAACTCCGCCGTTCTCCTGAGGCGGGAAGAAGTTACACCCCAGACAGCCATTTATCAGGCAGAACCTACACGTGTCGTTTTCGAAAAACGACAACACTGCCTCGTTGGCCGAGGGAACCGATGATGACATGGCAATTCCGTCTGCCGCTCCGCCGCCGCCGCCGCCGCCGCCCCCGAAGATTACGTGCTTAAGCGCGGAGACCATAATGGAGTGCTCCTCGTCCGCGGAGACGCGTATGCTGGACCGAAACGACATGTTGCTCGAACTCGAAGCGCGGTGTCGTTCGCAGTGGGGCTCCGCGGGAATATCTGGTATTTCGAGGGACTTGTTTGAAAAGAAAATTTCTTTCGGTTTGAAGGTGGAGTTTTGAGATGGTTTTTAAGTTTAAGGTACGACGAAAAAGTGGATTGGAAATAATATATGATGTGATTTAATTTTTATAGTACGAGAGAGAGAGTGGGGCCGGGTACAAGGGGTCCACGTGGCAGTAAAGGGAAAGCGTGGTGACTGGTGAGTTAATCAAGGGGGGTTTCACTTTTTGGCACGTGGGGGAGACACAGGGGTGCTTTGGTGGGGTAAGGTACCAAGGTTAGAGGCAGCTCCTGCGTTAAATGCCACGTCAGGTGCTTAGTTTCTCACTTATGTCTGCATTTGACACGTAGCTTCTCGAAGCTTCTTATCGACTTCTCTGTCCTTTCGGAGATTACTTCCGATGCTTCTTTTTTGCTGTCGTGGCAACGAAGGAGGTTTCCACCTAGACTTCTCTTTCGTTTGACGGCTCTTTCCCCCACCACCTTACACCACCTGTACTCTTTCGGCCTCTTAGACACGATATTGCCTTATTATTTATTTATTTTTAGCGGAAGGAGATTTTTAAGTTAATATTGAGTTTATATATAAATAATTATATGTTATAAACTATCATATAAGATTAAATTTATTTAAAAGTAATCTATTAAGATTTAAATAATTTAAATTTTAGTGTATTTAATAGAGTATGAGTCTTTAATATGTAGAGATTTAATGGTAATTTTTATTTTTATGATTGACTAAAATAAAAATACTAAAAGATAATAGGAAAGTTATTTATATGTGGTTATGCTTATCAGATCACACGTATTATCATTATTTTATTATTTTCTGACATCACATTATTAGAGAGAGAGGACAGAGAATGCTAAAGAATTCTCTAAGAAAACGTGTTGATCTGGAAGACAAACCGCACGATTCTAGAGAGTAATTTACTGTTATGGATTCATGTACACTTCTGCTTATTCTTTTGTTGATTCTTAGTGATTTAACATGAATGTTTCCTGGATTTTGATAGATGTTTTACATCTAAGGATATTTTCTAACAGTTTGATAGTGTTTTCAAAACTGTTTGTTTCGAGTATGAATATAGAAATGAGAACATTTTAAAAGTGGTGTTGATATTATTTTTGGTTAATTTTTTTTTGAGATTATTTTAAGTATAAAAAAATAAAATTGTATTTGGGTATATAAAAAACATGTATTAAGCAATAGCTTAGAAAATGAAAATAAAAAAATAATTTTTGACTATTTTTAATTTTCTTAACAAAAATAATTTTCACAGTGTTTTATTTTCATTTTCATTTTCAAAGTATTTACTAATTAAATGCAATTTGGAGATCATTTTCGTTTTCTATTTAAAAAAATTGTGTAAAAATATTTTCAAAAACAGGTTGAAAATAATTCCAAACATGCCGTTAAAATCTTTGTTTTTTGAATTTAAAAAGTACGGTTTATAAAAACTTCCAAATAATTGACCGTTACTAATATGTACTTACCAGTTACTTGACCTCGCTTACAAGAACAAAATCAGAAAAATTAGTCAGGAGAACGTGGACGTGAATCGTGATTGAACTAATGAGGTGGGGTAAATAAAAAGATGAAGGATTTTAAGAGAATAAAATACAAAATTCTTAAAATTTTATATGACTGAATTGAAATGCAAATTTTTAATGATAATGGAACATGTTATATCATGTGTCTTTAAACATAATCTTAGAACACTCTACGATATTTTTATAAATGATATTTTTATAAATTTAGAAGATAATTTATTAAGTTTTAAAGTTCAGTGGGTAACTTTTTTTCTTTTTTTTTTTTTTGCTAAAAAGTAGGTAACTTGCTTAGGCATCGTTCACTTCGCGGATTTGAGTTTTCAATTCAAACTGAGATGTGACATTTTCTGAGAGCTTTTAACTGTAGCAAAAAAAAAGTTAAATGTGACATTTTCTGAGAGTTTTTAACTATAAAAATCTAGAACTAAAAATTCGAATCGGTAAAATGAACAAGACATTAGTAACTCAAATTCAGGACACAAAATAGTCAAAAATGGTCCTGATGTGTTTGACGTTTTGACAAGTGCAAAAAAATACTTATTGTTAATAATTATGTGGCTGCCAAAGCAGATTTCTAATCTAATTGCGATGAATTATTCAATACACCGAGTGTACCATGTCATATTATTAATGTTGTATACTTGTTAAATGAGATTGTACCATTTAAATATTTTGTCTATGTGAATTTTTCATTTTTATTTTTCTCTTTCTTAATAGATATTTACATTGGTTATTGAGTCAAAAGCACTTATTATTCTATCCAATTTCTTTATTTTAATGACTTAACTTTAAATTATTATTTTTAATCCTAAAATACAATAATCAAATTTCTCTGAACGTCCCTTGCTATTCCATCCGCTGAGGAAAAAAAAAGCTTTCTATCATTCATTCTGCTTTATCTGCGCAACAGGGTTATCTTGGGTAATGATTCTTGTTATATATATATATATATATATATATACTCACACATTTGTTTATTTGTTTTATACCATTAATTGTCATCTTCATATATTTATTAGAAAAAAAGAATCTTGATACATGCATACCATTTAAGCTTTTATTTGCTTGCGTTTTTCTTTATCTTTTTTTTTTTTCCCCCTTGTTGTGCCGTTGAACGGCTTTAAATCTTTTGCTTGTTTTTTTAATGTGCTCAATTTGGAACGAAATGGATAAGCAAGAACGATAGTTCATGAAAGATTGAATTCAAAATGTATATGAATATATTTAACACAAAGTAAGGAACATATAAAAAGTAGAAGTATTATAAAAAATATATATATGTTAGCAACTTAAGTTAAAAAAAAAAAAGAAGAAGAAAGTTCGGCCGATGTAAGGGATGTTCAGAGAAATTTGATTATTGTATTTTAGGAATAAAAAAATAATTTAAAGTTAAGTCATTAAAATAAAGAAATTGGGTAGAATAATAAGTGTTTTTAATTCAATAATCAATACAAATACCTATTAAGAACGAGAAAATAAAAGTAAAAAACTGACATAAATAAAATATCTAAATAGTATAATCTTATTAGACGGGTGTATCACATAAATAATATGATGTGATACACTCGATGTACTGAATAATTCCTCTCTAATTGCTTAAGGTAACATAATAATACTCAATTTGCTTTTGGAAATAATATACTCGATAGTCTTTTATTATATCAAGTTTGGTAATTTTGGCACCAAAAAAAGATTAAAAGATAGGAAAAGACGTGGCCATACTTGAAACATTGAGGGTTGTTCTTTTACATTTTTGAGTTAAGGTGACTTGAGTGATGATCTTAAATTGAGTTTGAATTATAACTTGAGTTGAAGTTGTAACTTGAGTTTGTGTTTAGATGTGCACATTTGAGTTATGATTTGAATTGAGAATCTTTTTGAGTTTGTGTTTGGGTGGGTCAAAACTTAAATTTGTATTTAGATATAATTTTAATAAAAACTCAATGGTGATAAAAAATTTTAATAGGGTATATGAGTGGGGTTTTATTCGTCTTTTCGTTGTGAATGCATGAAAAAAAATCATCTTAATCAAAATTAAAATGAAAACGTTATGACATTTTTATGAATATAAAAAATACTGATTACTAACTTGAGTTTGAGTTTCTAAACTCGAGTTCAAAGAAAAACTTGAATTTGAGTTTAATTCTAAATTTGAGTTCAAACTCAAGTTTAAATTTAAATTTTATAAAAAAAATATAAACTTAAATAAAATTATAACTCAAATTTAAATAACAATCTTTGAATGATGACATATGTGATTTTGCGTAGCCTGTGCTTTTTTCAGAAGAGGATGGAAAAAAGAAAGAGCTCAAGCTCGACTATTAACTATTGATGGAAACAGCGTTGACCAACATGTGACCAAATGGCAAATAATCGCAACTCGCAATTTGGTTTTCAAACTTAAAACGTCAACGATGATTGGTCAGCTTTTTATGATTATGTTCCACTGGTCCAATGATCGTCATCGTCTTTGCAACTGACATGGGGAAAGACGGGAAACTAGGTCGTCAATGGCACCCAAAAGAAAATTCAGTTGTACCATAGAAATAGTGACGTCAATATGGGCAACACAAGGTCAATGTGGGTCTCCAAAATAGTAACCTCATTTGAAATGGGAACCAGCTTTTGATTTACTTAGGCTCAATTTGGTAGTAATTTGTAGAGTGTAAAATTAATTCTTTAATCATTCATAATTAAAATTTGTATTTGATAAAAATTATAAAAAGTTATTCTTAAATCATTTATAAAAAATTTACAATCAAAATCAGAAGTAGCCTAAAAAAAGTTTTAGTTTTTAAATTGTGCGGCAATCTCCTTACTTCTAATTAATGAAACTTTATAATACTCATATTATCTCTGTTTAAATCTAAAATCTTCATACCCAAAATTTATGAGACTGATCACCTCTCTCTCTCTCTCTCTCTTCACGGTATCTTTCTCCGTTTCTTTATCCCCCCCCCTCTCTCTCTCTCTTCGCACTCTCTCTCTCTGTTTCTCTCTCTTCTCTATCTCTGTTGATTACTCACTAATGTTCACTAATGTTGATTACTCACTAATGCTCATTTTTATTGTAACAACATATTGTGAATAAAGAAATATTAATTATTATAAATTTAATGTTCCCAAATTCAGGAATAAATTGTGTTTTTTTTTATTTAAAAAAGTTAAACAAATATTTTTTTAATAACAAACAAAATTATACATATTTAAATTTCGTACCATGTGTATTTTGGTTATCTTAACTACCACATCAATTAAACCTCATAATTTACTAAATGCTACTACATTGCTTTTGGAACCATCAACACTTATATAATTACAGTTACCAAACACTTAATTACTTTTTATAACAGTTATTTTTTTATTAGGACAACTAATAATAATTTTTTT